GTCCAAAATATATCTAACCCTTGCCAATATCGATATATTCTTTGCCATTTTGTGCTGAACATATCTGATATGAGATTTCAAAAAAGCAAGGATAGCGCCTATGATACATGCTATCCTTGCTTTTTTGTTAGGCAGGTAGTGGTTATAGTTAAGGTTAGGATAGGTCTACAGGAAATGAATGTAAGTCAATGTAAAGTCTCCACAAAGAATGAAAACACAGCGTGAGTGTGTGTGTGTGTCTTAGAGGACACAGTCACAGAGAGGAAAACTTAACTTTCCAGTCAGCAGTTTAGCTTCAACTTGCTCACCTCCACCAAGTGAGATCTTTCTTCTCTCTCTCTCTCACTGCCTCTGCCCTTTACTGGCCCCTTCTTTACCCTTTTCCATGCTTTGTTTATTTTTCCCTTTCCCTCTAGTACACAGTCCCTCTTTGCCATTTTCTGTCATTCTCCCTCTCGCTCTCTCTGTAACTCCCCCTCCCTGTGTGACTGCTCTTTCAACCTCCTGTAGGAGCGGTTTCAGGCCACTGTGGAAAGGCTGTCCATTAACTTAACTTACCATGCAGTAAAGTGGAAAATATGATTTTGTATGTGTGTGCAGCAGTGGAGGGACTTGGTGACCTCCCAGCCCCTCTCATGGGCAACCACTGAGGGTTTCGGGAATATCTGACTGAAGAAACAGATGGTGCATATACACTGATCAGCCATAACATTATGACCACAGAATAAAGTGAATACTGATTATATCATTACGCTGGCACCTGTCAGTGTGTGGTGTATATTAGGCAGCAAGTGAACATTCAGTCCTCAAAGTTGATGTGTTGGAAGAAGGAAAAATGGGCAAGTGTGAGGATCTGAGTGACTTTGACAAGGGCCAAACTGTGATGGTGAGATGACTGGGTCAGAGAATCTCCCACACTGCAGGTCTTGTTGGGTGTTCTTGGTCTGCAGTGGTCAGTACTGACCAACAGTGGACTAAGGAAGGGCAAATGGTGAACTGGTGACAGGGTCATGGACGTCCCCAGGTGATGATGAGGTTGACCTACAGTATATTAAACTTTTAACTTCCATTTGTATTTTTCAAAAAATTAAGATTTATTTGAATCTTTGTTAAAATGGTTGAAAATGAGAAATACTGTACATTGGTCTCTATGAAGAGAAAGAGTCGGGGGCTGTAGTGGTGATATCACACCTGGAGTGGTGAGGCTGTTGGATTGGTCTAAAACATTCTCTCTAACTCGTCCTCATGACCAGTTTTCATTCCTTTTATATAAGTTTCTCACTGAATTGTAGACACATCTGTGCTCTTCCTGACAGTAAAACTGTGGAAGCAAATGGATTCACAGAAGATGCACAGTGAGCTGCAGAGTGACACCAGTACCAACCAACTGCCACATTGACCCCTATATAAACAGTATTAGGCAGGTGGTCATAATGTTATGGCTGATCGGTGTATGTGCCTGTGTAGGTGTGTCTACCTGTGTAGTTGGGTGGACAAATGCAGGTATAGTTGTTGACTCCATCGATGCATGTAGAGTTGTTCTCACAGTCATTGTCTTCACAGTCATCTGGGTTTATCTCACAACGGTGGCCCTCGAAACCGGGTGGACACACACAGCTACACTCACACACACAGAAAATATCATTAGATGGTCAATGGGCCAGATCTGTGCACACACTCCTGCTGCACAACTTGAAATAAAATCAATCAGTCAGTTCAATCAGAGGCTCAAATTCACATCCCCTTAAATTCTTCTATAAGAGCTTTAAAGAAAAACATTTCCAGGGGGATTTCCTCCATCCTGTGTTGGATCTTCCACACCACTGGCATCAACTCATAACTATATTTAGTGGTCCAACAAGAGACACCATTTCATGCTTCATTCTATAGCAGAAATACATTTTTAACATGGCTGTTCAAAGTTTAAACTATGACTGCCAAATGCTACTTGGCTAAAATGTAGAGAAGCAGTCGTCCCCATCAAACTAAGCGCCTATGATACATGCTATCCTTGCTCTTTTGTTAGGGGATGTCTCATTAATGGACATCACAGGTCAGTGTTCATTAAGCTTCCCCAGCCAGTACTGACAGTCATTGGTTACCCCCACCCTGTCAGTCTGCTGGTTTCTGAAGGTTAAACTCAAAGCTGCATTATACAATTTTTAATCTTTAGGGTGCAGAACAAACTCAGCACCTAGGATACAGTGAACACATACATTTGTTTCTGGCTATTGCATTAGCCATAATGTGGGCTACGTAGTGATATAACACACACACAAAACAAAATAAGCATCCCATTTGTAAAAGCAACAAAGCTGCCATATTGGGTGTTGATGATCCATGGTTTGGCACAGTGGACGGCCCTTCCATATTATGTTATTTGAATGAATGACCAAAAATGTATAGGGCCTTTAAATGCAACCAGATAATGGATTTCCATCTTTATTAAAAGACAGTGACACCTCAGTTTGCAACAACACACACATACATGGAGAGGGATGAAGAAAAATAATAAAAGAAAGTGTAGGAGCGAGAACGATGAGCTAAGATATTACATGAGAAACAAGGACAAACAAATACAAATGAGAAGAGCACCGCCAGCACTGAGAGGGTCAGAGAGCACTGTTCCACAAATCAAATCCTCATCTTGACATTTAAACTATATAGTTTGACAAATGGGCCACTGCTAAAAACCAAGGCTAATTGGACTTTGGATTGAATAACCCCAACAGATTATATAACATGTTAAAATGTCAAAGAGGTCTGGCTTCGACTCTTTCTGTCTTTCTCTGTCTGTTGCTGCATGTCTCCCAGAGGGCACAGTTATCTACCTGTGTTGGTATTAACATTGAGAGAAGATCTGTAAAGGGTAAAGAGACCCTTAATAGCATTACCACACAGGATGTTAAAGGCCAGATGCATATCAAAGCCTTTCAAAGGGCAAAGGGCTTGTTAAGGGGCTTGAGGTAGAGACTAATCTGGTTAAGATATTGATGACATTTGTTTCAGTCAAAGTGGCTGTTTGTTTCTTTGTTCTTTCATAGAGTTTCAAGAGTGTAAATTCAATGTTTAAAGTGGTTTGCTTCAATTTAATGGCTACAGGACTGTCATTCATACATGCAATATGTTTTTACTTTGGCTGTTTTGATTACTTTTGGTATGTGGCCTTTTACCAAAGTTATAATTTATATCTCTTGGTACATATTTCTAAATTAACCTGAGCACACTTGCTTTAGTTTCTTTGTCCAAAGGAGATTAGTTATTAGATGAGAGTGGACAGGGGAATATAGCATTTAAGATTTTAGGTCATGGCTGAAGAGCATGTTAATACTTTTTTTTTTCCATCATTCTACAAAACAACTACAGAATATAAAGTTATAAAACTGCACAAAAATGCAGCAGTGGTCTAGATATGTGAGAAGCAAGTTTGAGATCCTAGATCGACTGGGAAATGACGGGTCAGAAAGTGAAGGAGTGATGTTCTGCTATCTGCTCCCTCAGCCGCTACCACTGGGAGGCTCTTGACCCCCAATGTGTCCAGTCAAACGCTGTGATTGTGTTGGGCAGCTCCAAGGTGTGACTGTGTGAAACTGTATAAATGTAAAGCAGGGAGCTCCTGGAAAGCAGATAGCATGTGCAGTATGCTTTCCCAGGATGAATAAAGAGGTCAAAAACATTATGGATCACATGTTTCTGCTTAAGTTATATCATCTTGAGTGCATGAACTTAATAACTGCATTTGTCAATGTAACACTTGCCAAGTGTTTAGACAAGGAATTATTAATCTCTAATTAAGGGCCAACAAGCTGGAATAGGTTCGGCTACATGGAGCAATGTGTGGTGTTCAAATGAATCTCACAAACCATATGTTTGAACACTTTCTTACTGTATTTGAACGTGTGCACATATACAAAACAATTTAGATAACTAAAATAATGAAAAATATGGAAAATGTATAAACCAAAATAACAAAAGCTTAACCGTGTTGTCTTTTTTTCTCTTCACAGACCAATATCAAAAAACTAAGTAATCCCTCCTCCCTGTGAGGAACAAGTAAATCTTGAATAATGGTTTACTTAGGATATGTTTCCTTTTTATGTCTGCAATATCATAGGGTGCACCCAATCTAAATCTGGTATCCAATGTGGAGTGGAATCCAATTGGATAATTTTCAAATCCAAATCCTTTTCGAATCAATCAACCATACAAGAATCCAAGACAGGGATGACAGTTTTAAAATGTACCATTTTATATAACATACTGTCTATTGTATTGTTGTACCTGAAGTGGTCTTCATGGCGTGGTTGAATGTGGCAGGTTCCTCCATTAGAACAAGGGAAACTAATACAAGCATTGATGGGTAGTTCACAGTTTTTACCCTGGAGGAGAGGAGAAGATAAGTCAAGGCAGGGAAGTTAAGAACTGAATATCGGATATTTTTCTAGAAGACCGTCGTGGTCCAAGAATGCCTTCAAACCCCTTTACTACTAACACCTCTTACACAGTGCCTCTGACTCTACAGTTATAGGAGTGTGAGATCATTCTTCCTTCTGATTCACCATTATATATTCCTCTCCCTTTCCGGTCTTCCATACCCTGGATACTGACATACAATAAGTAGAGGAAGTAATAAGCTGCATGCTAATGATGGAAAAGAAAATGCCCAACTGAAGGGTGCCTGGGTGGTGCAGGGGGAAAAGCCAGGGGTGGGGGAATTAAGTTATATGACATGACTTAAGTTAGACTTAGGTAACAAATTGGAGGACTTGAGATTTGCTTGACCAACACTGGTAAAAGACTCAACTTGACTTTTACTTGGTGTTCATGACTTTTTGAGACAGTTGTCAAAATTACTTCACCTTTTTAAATTAAATATTAACATTTTTGTAGATACTGAAAAGTTACATGTTGCTTTGGTTTGGGTGGTTTCTAGTGCAATGCATGCAAACCTGGCAACCTTCCAGAACGCAGCAGACCAGCAGAGGGTAACGCAGGATGCAGTAATGGAGGGAACTAGTCCAAAAATAAAATTCATTAAAGCCATGAATACCTTTAAATTTAATAGCAAAGGGTTAGTTTATAGCCTACGAATGCACAATTAATAATCAGATATGTGATATTCCCATAACCATTCCTATTCCCACATGGCCACTGTCTTTTATCGGATTTAAATGTTGATCATCAACATTTTGTATGACTTCACTTATGACTTGCTTGAGATATAATAGGGACTTTACTTAACTGGCTTGATTCTCACCGCAGTAATTTCCTAGAGCCTTGAAGGCTAAGACTTGCTTGTGACTTTCACATGTGTGACTTACTCCCACCTCTGATAAAAACACTCACCCACCACCACAGAGACATACAGTATGTTCAGTTTCCATCACCAGCCGAATGATTGAATCCAGTTGGCAGCATTGTTTTGAAGTGGGAATCTATGGAGGGATCATATTTTATCACTACACTAAAATGTCACAATTGTTATGAAAAGAATATTTCTGTGTTACTTAAATTAAAGCTGACCTAATACAGGGTGACATACAATTTGTAAATATTAATGCCTTTTTGTAGAAAAATAAAGTAAAGTAGGCCTTTGATTAATTGCTCTTCTAACACACACCTGTTTTCTGAATAAACAGATTTCACTTGGAACTGTGTCATGTACCTAAGCCCTGCACAGACACACTTTCTCAACATCAAACCCTGCAGCTGTAGTTTTAATTTCAAACTCACAAACCTTTGGCTGCAAACACATCCACTTCCTCTGATCAAAGCCAAGACGTTTATTCTTGTTCTCCCTCTTCATCCATCTTCATTATTTCCTTCTCATTTTGCTTTTTTATTGTAGCTCTTTGTTTGTTTTGTTCACTTCCTTTCGTTCAACCCCCCTCTTTTTCACTGTTCCTTTCTTCTACACGTTTTCTCTCTCAAAGCATTTAAACCTTTCTTTCTTCATTTCTTTCTCTCTTCTTACACAGTTACCTCTCTCATTCTCCAGTAGCTTACAGTAAATGTCTCCCCCTCCTTTGTCTTCCCTCTCTCTTTCTCCTTCTCTCTCCCCCTCTTTTGTTCCCTGCTGCTCCTTTTTTGATTCCCTTTTAATTAACGTTGTTGCGGTGGATGCCCACACAGGAAAAAAATAAATAAATAAAAATACACAGGCATGTACATGCACAGACACACATACACACACCAACAGTCCCTGTTTCCCAGTGAGTGACCTTGGCAAGTGATGTTTTAATTAAAAGCAAGGCAGAGGCTTTGTCCTCCTGTTAAACCCTAAAGGTTAAGAGGTGTGTGTGTGTGTGTGTATGTGTGTACATGAGATCACAAGTGTATCTTTAAAGTGCTTGTACACACACAAGCACAAACACATGTACATGTACACAGGAACTCCCACGGAGGCATGAACCCACTAATCTCCAAACATGCATGAAAACAAACAAGTGGGTAATGTGACATATACATATATACATATGTAAATCCACAGACATATGCACACAATTATATTCCACACACACTCCTCCAGTGCAAACTGCCCTCTCAGCAGTAGATTTTTACATCTTTTCTAATGCAGGGCCCTGACAATTATTATACCCTTTGTCTTTTGATCAGTCAATACTTCCAGTGCAGTCAGCTGCAGTCATCATTTCTTAGTTGATGAACAGACAGATACATTATGCATGTAAGCCAACGCTAAGCCTGATAATACTGCTAATACCACAGGCTTATGCTGCATGGAAATCCATCTAGGATACCTTTCATGCATGCAGCCAATTCCAGGAAATGTAACACTTTCCTGCAACCATAGCTGCTGGATTTTTATCATTCAGAAGTTTTAAAACACAGATAAACCACTAAATAATGGCCAGTTAACTGAAAGTGCAGGTACCTGCTTAGGAACAGGGGATAGAAAATAGCAACACAATTAGGGTTCACTCTTGACAAAGCACTTTGGAAATGCTTTTAACAAGCAGCAAAGAGGATGGTAACAACCACGATTTACCAAAGCATTAAGTAAATAACTAATATTCATTTGCATGGGGCCATAACAGAGAACATATGTTAAGTTCAGTCAAACTCGCATATTAAAAAACCTATTCACTAACAAGAGTTAATGCTTTCAAATCTTTTTTTTCTTTTTATCAATTTAAAGAAAATATGTATTTGTACACTTACAATTTTACTATGAACTGCAGTGTTTTTGAGCTGAAGTACAGCTGGATTAAAAACCATCTAAGAGTTTGTTAAACCCAACATGCTATCTCCATTTAAAAGTTCCTCTCTCTGCTTCTATCTAGCATCTCACCTTGAATCCATATGGACAGGTGCAGTGGTAGGATCCAGTGGCATCAGAGACACAGGTGCCGTTGTTTTGGCAGGGGGCTGCTAGGCAGGGGGCGCACTTTGACATCAGACTGATGTCTGCTGGGCCTGAGAAAGAAGCAGGAACAGATGAGTAGAAAGACAAGGGGGAAGGAGGGAAGAAGATAAGAAGACAGAAAGAAAGCAAAGATGTGTCAAAGGAAAAGACATATTTATTTATTTAGTGCCAAAAGTCACCCCGACAGCCTTCCATTTAACAAATGGCATGCTAAGAAAAGGCCTTACTGGATAAGATAAGTTTAGAAGAGCCATGTCATTGGTTTCAGGGTTCAGGGCATGTAAAAAAACAAGGAGACGAAGAAGAACAGGGGCTCTGATTTTCCATGTGATGATGGGAAGTACTTCTATTGCATACTTCACGATTCACTTTAGACTCTATTTTCATCTATGAAACCTAGACCAACACTCACCCTACCATACTGTACATTCACAGCAAATTATGCCCATGTGTTACAGACACATGCAGGGTCATGATTTTCAAGATGTATCTTTTCCTGTGGGGACAAAGTCCACTTCTAAATTCTTCTCCCCTCTGGTCTGATAGCAAGAGCACCCTGGGATAATGTTAGAGGTTGAACTGCTCCTGCACTCTGTCCACACAAGAATGAAATGCAGCTGAGGCAATGGAGATGTTTTCATTCATTCTTTATCTTTGAACATAAGCAATTCTCTTTGAAAAATTAGCATCACTATTACTAAACTGAGCTGACAGAACAAAAATAATACCCAATACATAAGGGTTTGCTTGACTGGGAAATCTGTCTGACACCTTGAGGCAACTCAAAGTGGCTCACTCAGAATAATATGATTAGCTTTATTGCCTTCCACTTCTAATCGCAACTCTTTGTTTTGTCCCTGAGCCTGCGCCTGAAAATGTATCTTAAATGCATCCTACATTTCAATAAAATTAACTTGTTTGAAAAGAGACAATCTCATCAATGTCCCCTGAGGAGGAGGAAAAGCTACATAGAACATCTTCAAATAAACACCACAGGTTTCATTTCTTCTACACCATGTAGCCAAAGATCAAGAATGTAATACTAATACCAATCTAAACATTTCAAAGGAGCTAACTTCTTAATTATTTCTCTGAAAGGGAATGGGAATAGTTCAGATAGAAACGATTAAAAAACAGAACAAGTCTCACTATCAGTTTAATTGATAATTGATTGAGTGACCTGAGTCTTGCTCTCAAATATCACAGTTTTAAATGCCTTTCTATGCACTAATCTGTCTGAATCTGGGGATTAATACAATGCTGAAACTGGTCAACACTGATATGTACAGCCAAAAAGTAGAATAAACTGTAGTATGGGGTAGTACGGAAACAGAAGGGAAGAGGTAAACGAAATAAAGTGGAGACTGTTTACCTTTACACTGAAATCTGTTAAGTGGTGTGGTGAGCAGCAGCCTGTCAGCCATGTCAGCAGGTCCAGTACAGCGAGCAATGCCTGTTGATAACCAGCATATTTGCCATTTCTGTTTTACATACATGAGATCAGCTGCTTGCAAGGGCAGACTCCAAATTGTGGTGACAAGTACTTTAACAGCATATTGACAATGATTTTTCTTCTTACCAGGCTCTTTGAAGCCAGCCTTGACCCACTGTGAGAGCCAGCGCAGCTCACAGTTACAGTATAAGGGGTTGGCACCAAGAGCCCTAGACACACAATTAAAAGCATTGCAGTGACACATAACTCCCCTTGAAGACACTGTAGACCTACATACACAGATATAAAAACAAGGGGGTGCTTACAGGTGGGACAGAGAGGTCAGGTGGTTGAAAGCTCCTTCTGGGATAGTTGAAAGGTCATTACCATGGAGAGTCCTGGAGGGGAGCAAGAGACAAATGAGAGCAAGACAAGAGTGCTCATGAATAGGCTACTAGTTTTCCCAACTGCTAACTTTTTTTTTTTTTTTTTTTTGCAAAACTACACAAAAGTGGTCAAAATCATTCATATATCATTCACTGCACTATGCTCATTCAGCAAACACCTGCAATCATTACGATAAACCAATAAACTCAAATCATCACTCTTTGAACTTAATGACTACACCTTTTTCCAGGTCTAAGCACTTAGCCGCAACATTTGACACACCCAGTACTGTGGGATCCTATAAACAGGGCCACTGCCTTGCTTATCATCTCTGGAACAATGGATCCTACCCACCCAGAAGGTGGGAGACATCAGAGGGATGCTTGAGCTCAAGGGTCCCTTGCCATGCTACTTTGGGTCCATATAACACTGCACATCTATTTGCCTCCTAGCTCAACTTTCCAGGCACCACAAAAGTGGTCAAAATCATTCATATATCATTCACTGCACTATGCTCATTCAGCAAACACCTGCAATCATTACGATAAACCAATAAACTCAAATCATCACTCTTTGAACATAATGACTACACCTTTTTCCAGGTCTAAGCACTTAGCCGCAACATTTGACACACCCAGTACTGTGGGATCCTATAAACAGGGCCACTGCCTTGCTTATCATCTCTGGAACAATGGATCCTACCCACCCAGAAGGTGGGAGACATCAGAGGGATGCTTGAGCTCAAGGGTCCCTTGCCATGCTACTTTGGGTCCATATAACATTGCACATCTTGCCTCCTAGCTCAACTTTCCAGGCACCAGGTGAACCAGGGGCACCAGACCAGTCCCAGAACCTTATCTTTTGGGATTATACACCAGACTGCTCTGTTCGATGTTCATTCCAGCATTCACAAATCTTTTATTTCCTGCACACTGCATATTGTTTTCGGCATGTCTGTGGAAAGTATATGACAGAAACTATCACAAGAGAAAACTGTTTGGTTGCAGTAGAAGATGCCTATGGGGGTGTGCCTTTGGAAGCCGGCCGAAGGTGGATAAGGCACATCACAGCATGCATGTGTGTGTTGTCTGAGAGCACAGTTTGATTTTGACATGGAAGTCAGATGGCTGTACAGATGTGAGCATCATTTTGAGAATGTGTATGTAGTTTTCAGAAAATATGTGTTAGCAATTGGGAAAAACTGTAAACACAATACTGACCTTGTTCATTTGAACAGGTCACTTTTTGACCCATTGTTAATTTTATTGTATAATTAATTAATGTGATTAGGCATTCAGTGTTTCTTTATTCACATTATTTGCAGCAAGAAGAATGACCATTATTTTGACCTTAACGTCAGCCCAGGATGTTATTAGTTATTAATGCTACTTCTTCATCTACTTACACTGTGGCTACTATTGTACTGATCCAGCTGCGAGTATTCTGGAAGTCAGATGGCTTCTAAACTAGAAGCTGTGTTTGAGGCTTGCCCACAGATGACAGTGCTCTATTTGCTAATTTTACAGTGAATATCTGAACAAACCTGCTGCATCATATCCGTCATTTCAGAGGCAAATGAAACTGAAGACACAGCTGCCTAACACTCAATTTGCAGCAAACTAATATATCAGTCTAACTCTGACTTGCTGCATGCTGAATTATTTAAATTATATGTGGTTCCTAAGCTACAGACACACCACCACCCCCCATATAATGGGATATAAATAAAATATTTATGAAAGAATAACACAAAATAAACAGAAAGCTTATTTTCATCTTTGGGCTATAAAGTTTGTCCTAGTTCGAATGGAATATAAACTGTCTCATATGGTCATCTGGCAGACTGTGGTGTGTGTGTGTGTGTGTGTGTGTGTGTCACAGGAAGAAACTGTGGGCTGTGATGTGTATCAGTGTGAGCATGTGCATTTTTTGTTTTGTGCCTTTGGGTCTTTGCATGTGTTTGTGAGTGCAGATGTGTGTGTTTGATTTTTTTTGTCTCCAAGGGCCCAGAGACTGCAGTATGTGTGTGTCCTTGGTGTCTCGCCACTGAAGTGTGTTGCCTGCTGGATATAAGTTCACATTTCATTAGAGAGAAGGTCTGTAGCAGGGGACAGCTATCAAACCACCACTACTGGAAAACTGTGTGTGTACATAATTCACTGTGTGTAGGTTCAGACCAACATGTACAAGTATACATGCTGGTGATATGTGCACATATATTTGTGTGTGTGTCTTGTCTGTTCTCACAAATTTGCGTTTGTGTGTGCTTAATGTCTTTATGGGTTTGTGTGCATCTCTATGCATCTGTATATGGTGGTCTAACAGCCCCCGCACAAGGCTGGCCCAAAGGGGGTTGTGGGTAATGAGGAGGTGACAGTGATTGCTGCCTGGCAACCAGTTGCTATGTGGGGGCAGAGAGGGATCAGTCCCTACGGCAACATCAACTAAAATGAAAGGAAGAAAGGATGGAAGGTTAAAAAAGCGTTCAGTAAACTAACGCAAGGTGAAGAGATAGAGAGTCAATAGAGAGAGAAAAGGCCAGAAACAAAGCTGACTTTTGAGGGTGAGGTTTGTTTTCTAAACAAATGTGGATTATCTGTAGCAGAAGCAACAGTGTGTTTGAAGTTCATGAATGTAAATTTTAATTGATCTGACAACCACAAATTAAATTCCATTCACCTCCATCGTATTGGGTTGCAAGACTTGAAGGTGTATTTCATAAAACCTGGCAAAATAAAACTAAAACTACCTGCATGACAGCTATATGTGGGGAAATATGTTTTCTTGTAATTTAGTCGTAGCAACCTTTTAAGAGAAAGAGTCAAAAATGATTGTAATCATAGACTCATTTATGTAATATGCCATGTGAAATGATAAAGTGCTGGCTGAAAAGCTACTGTACATGCAGCATGTTTAAAAGAAATTCTACTGTCGACTGATGATCGTGATGAAAGCGTATGGTCACACTTGCCTGTCTGTGTTTAGCTACTTGCATGTGTGTGAGAGGATGGTCAGACAGCAATATTCATGTGCACGTTGCACATGTTGGTTTGTGAGGCAGAGGGTGGACAACCAGATGGATGACTGAGAGAAACAGAGGCTGAAGGTCGATTCATCAAACAACACCGGGCATATCGGGAGAAAAGGAGAAGAGGATGGATGGAAGAGAGAGAGGGAGAGAAAGAGAGGAGGGACACGAGGGAAGAGAGGAGCCAGAGCATACAGATAGAGAGGGAGTATTAAAGAGGAGATGAGAGATTGTCACTTTTATCTCTTTTAGTACCCTGAAACAACAAATGATTGGGTGGCTGACTCACTTTGTGACTGGGTCTTAACATGGCACTTGGCCTGGCACCAGGGGAGTGATTAAACTTTGATTTAGCTCAGTACTATAACTAGCAAAGGGAATGTTGAATATTGAATGCACTGCAGCACTTGAAGATGAGGCTTGCTACTCACAGCAGGCGAAGTGACTTGAGCCCGTCGAAGGCATGAACCGGGATGCAGCGAATCTGGTTGTAACTCAGGATGCTGGAACACAGAGGACATTAATAAAACAAGTTTCTGACTCAGAATGCTGCTTTTCACAGCATCATTTTCTTGCATATATTCATTTCAAATTATTTTCTCATCCTTTAGATCGTGGCCCTGAATACACGCAAATTAATGTAGATGGACCAAGAGCATAAAGAGACAGAGACTAGGAAGGACATCAGAAGTGACACAGTAGATTGGGATTTACAATAACTTAGAAAACCTGTAGCCACTGTAGGTTAAACAAGGGGAAATTAACAAGAAGGACACACATTAAATTAAGCAGTAAATTCAAAGTGTCAGAGGCAAATCTGACATGTTTATAACATCAAACATCTATACCACAATTAATTTTCACACTTTAAAAATTGCTAATGAACTAAAAATTAAGTTTGACAGCAAATAAAAAGGAAGGGGACAGAAAGGACAGAAATGTAATCATAGATTTTTAACAGTTGGCCATTTTAGAGTGGTATCATTATTGTAACATCATTTATCTTATATCCTGATAATGATCCTATGGTAAAACATTGACTGCCGCTGTCTGGTATGTATTGTATGCATCTTTAAGACAATAGTAGTCTAGTACTATGTTTATATGCATTTGATGGATCATGAAACACTCTCCTCCACTTCCACCAAGGTGTGCTGGTCAAGGAATTTAACACAGGGAAGTGCTCCAGAGGTGCTAACTGGGAGCTAACAGTAGCAGTCTCTGGTTGCACTACGCAGTTCCCAAGTATGAAGCAGTGCAACTGTATGAATTTTAAAGTGTCACCGTAAAAGCAGCAAATATACTCAGTCAAACTTTCCCTGGACACAAAAGCCAACAACTTGATGTAGAATCTGTGTAAAAAACTAGATTAACTAAAAACAATAAGAAAGAAACAAGCAGCAATTAAAAGATTTTGCATATCAGAAAGAATGGCAGCAAACATACAGTAGAGTTACAGTAAGGGGATTTTAAGAGGAGCTAAAGCAGGTAATAATTCAACAAGTTGATCGAGTAAGCTGAGAGAAGTGAAAGGGTTGTTTTGAGAACTTTGAAAAAGAAAGTCAAAGCTGGAAAGAGAGATGTAAAGAAAAAGTAAGGAAAAGACTAAATTAAGATGTACAGTAGTTACAGATGGCGAACAGGTCATAAAAGATCCTGGAAAATGTGAAGAAATATTGATGAGTGAAGAAAAAAACACTAAATTATCTAGTGGTTGATAAACTTACACACACAGACAACTCATGTATGACATTAAGACACGTAGCATGCTTGGCTATGGCAAGCAATCTGCGTTCTGCCGTGTTAACTTACAGTGTGGCTAGTTGAGTCATATTGCTGAAGGTGTATTGGGCCAGTGTGCTGATGCTGTTGTTGCTCAGGTCTCTGTGTAGATACAAACATACAATAAAGACACACAGACACACATACAGGGCATACTGCATATTACAGCAAGTGTCTAAACTATCTGCACAAAGATTTGGCATATGTATTCTCTTCAAGGTTATGTGAGTGGTACATACACTAGTGACAGCTGCTTCAGGGCGGCCAGCTCCTTGGGCACAGATGTCAGCATATTACCCTCCAGGTAACTGCAAAGGAAGAGTGCATAGTTAATGTAATATGCACACACACACACACACACAAGACAATCAGCTTAGCATAAAGACTGGAAGCAGGGAAAAACAACTAGCCTGGTTCTCTCTGCTTTTCCATCCACATAGCACCTCTGTGCACAATATCTGACAGTCCCCTTACAACCTTTCAGTGACGAGACTCTGGGAAGTCACTGTGTCTGTCATTTCTACTCACATTCTTATATTCTGATTTGTGTTAATCAAAGAAAAACTGAAACAGAACATATGAATACTTTTTAGCAGATGAAAGTGACATATAGCAAGAGAGGGAAAAAAAAGGCTGACATGTGGACTCAAGTGTTTGGGGACAGTTATGGTGGTCCATGCATTGCACCAGACAAGGAAGTGAATGATGCTTTTTAACACTAATCAAAAGGTTTGTCTCACGTTAGGCTGTACACTGATGTACAGGCAAGATTCTTGCAACTGTGTTACAGTACTACATTATACGTTTAAATATTTACAGGTAACTGTGGGGGACTAATAGTTTCATCATGTAACCTTCGACACTTTTACTAACCACTGCAAACATACACCACTCACCCACTGGTCCTTCTGTGTGTGTGAGAAACAAGTTAACATAAATATACAGTCAAGCAGATACACACTTTATGATCCACTGGTCTTTGGTGATCGTGATGAAAGCGTATGGTCACACTTGCCTGTCTGTGTTTAGCTACTTGCATGTGTGTGAGCGATCGTGGTGAAAGTGTATGGTCACACTTGCCTGTTTGTGTTTAGCTACTTGCATGTGTGTGAGAGGATGGTCAGACAGCAATATTCATGTGCACGTTGCACATGTTGGTTTGTGAGGCAGAGGGTGGACAACCAGATGGATGACTGAGAGAAACAGAGGCTGAAGGTCGATTCATCAAACAACACCGGGCATATCGGGAGAAAAGGAGAAGAGGATGGATGGAAGAGAGAGAGGGAGAGAAAGAGAGGAGGGACACGAGGGAAGAGAGGAGCCAGAGCATACAGATAGAGAGGGAGTATTAAAGAGGAGATGAGAGATTGTCACTTTTATCTCTTTTAGTACCCTGAAACAACAAATGATTGGGTGGCTGACTCACTTTGTGACTGGGTCTTAACATGGCACTTGGCCTGGCACCAGGGGAGTGATTAAACTTTGATTTAGCTCAGTACTATAACTAGCAAAGGGAATGTTGAATATTGAATGCACTGCAGCACTTGAAGATGAGGCTTGCTACTCACAGCAGGCGAAGTGACTTGAGCCCGTCGAAGGCATGAACCGGGATGCAGCGAATCTGGTTGTAACTCAGGATGCTGGAACACAGAGGACATTAATAAAACAAGTTTCTGACTCAGAATGCTGCTTTTCACAGCATCATTTTCTTGCATATATTCATTTCAAATTATTTTCTCATCCTTTAGATCGTGGCCCTGAATACACGCAAATTAATGTAGATGGACCAAGAGCATAAAGAGACAGAGACTAGGAAGGACATCAGAAGTGACACAGTAGATTGGGATTTACAATAACTTAGAAAACCTGTAGCCACTGTAGGTTAAACAAGGGGAAATTAACAAGAAGGACACACATTAAATTAAGCAGTAAATTCAAAGTGTCAGAGGCAAATCTGACATGTTTATAACATCAAACATCTATACCACAATTAATTTTCACACTTTAAAAATTGCTAATGAACTAAAAATTAAGTTTGACAGCAAATAAAAAGGAAGGGGACAGAAAGGACAGAAATGTAATCATAGATTTTTAACAGTTGGCCATTTTAGAGTGGTATCATTATTGTAACATCATTTATCTTATATCCTGATAATGATCCTATGGTAAAACATTGACTGCCGCTGTCTGGTATGTATTGTATGCATCTTTAAGACAATAGTAGTCTAGTACTATGTTTATATGCATTTGATGGATCATGAAACACTCTCCTCCACTTCCACCAAGGTGTGCTGGTCAAGGAATTTAACACAGGGAAGTGCTCCAGAGGTGCTAACTGGGAGCTAACAGTAGCAGTCTCTGGTTGCACTACGCAGTTCCCAAGTATGAAGCAGTGCAACTGTATGAATTTTAAAGTGTCACCGTAAAAGCAGCAAATATACTCAGTCAAACTTTCCCTGGACACAAAAGCCAACAACTTGATGTAGAATCTGTGTAAAAAACTAGATTAACTAAAAACAATAAGAAAGAAACAAGCAGCAATTAAAAGATTTTGCATATCAGAAAGAATGGCAGCAAACATACAGTAGAGTTACAGTAAGGGGATTTTAAGAGGAGCTAAAGCAGGTAATAATTCAACAAGTTGATCGAGTAAGCTGAGAGAAGTGAAAGGGTTGTTTTGAGAACTTTGAAAAAGAAAGTCAAAGCTGGAAAGAGAGATGTAAAGAAAAAGTAAGGAAAAGACTAAATTAAGATGTACAGTAGTTACAGATGGCGAACAGGTCATAAAAGATCCTGGAAAATGTGAAGAAATATTGATGAGTGAAGAAAAAAACACTAAATTATCTAGTGGTTGATAAACTTACACACACAGACAACTCATGTATGACATTAAGACACGTAGCATGCTTGGCTATGGCAAGCAATCTGCGTTCTGCCGTGTTAACTTACAGTGTGGCTAGTTGAGTCATATTGCTGAAGGTGTATTGGGCCAGTGTGCTGATGCTGTTGTTGCTCAGGTCTCTGTGTAGATACAAACATACAATAAAGACACACAGACACACATACAGGGCATACTGCATATTACAGCAAGTGTCTAAACTATCTGCACAAAGATTTGGCATATGTATTCTCTTCAAGGTTATGTGAGTGGTACATACACTAGTGACAGCTGCTTCAGGGCGGCCAGCTCCTTGGGCACAGATGTCAGCATATTACCCTCCAGGTAACTGCAAAGGAAGAGTGCATAGTTAATGTAATATGCACACACACACACACACACAAGACAATCAGCTTAGCATAAAGACTGGAAGCAGGGAAAAACAACTAGCCTGGTTCTCTCTGCTTTTCCATCCACATAGCACCTCTGTGCACAATATCTGACAGTCCCCTTACAACCTTTCAGTGACGAGACTCTGGGAAGTCACTGTGTCTGTCATTTCTACTCACATTCTTATATTCTGATTTGTGTTAATCAAAGAAAAACTGAAACAGAACATATGAATACTTTTTAGCAGATGAAAGTGACATATAGCAAGAGAGGGAAAAAAAAGGCTGACATGTGGACTCAAGTGTTTGGGGACAGTTATGGTGGTCCATGCATTGCACCAGACAAGGAAGTGAATGATGCTTTTTAACACTAATCAAAAGGTTTGTCTCACGTTAGGCTGTACACTGATGTACAGGCAAGATTCTTGCAATTGTGTTACAGTACTACATTATACGTTTAAATATTTACAGGTAACTGTGGGGGACTAATAGTTTCATCATGTAACCTTCGACACTTTTACTAACCACTGCAAACATACACCACTCACCCACTGGTCCTTCTGTGTGTGTGAGAAACAAGTTAACATAAATATACAGTCAAGCAGATACACACTTTATGATCCACTGGTCTTTGGTCGTCTTTCTCTCTCTCAGGTCATAAGTAGGTCATGTGGACAGTATGATGGAGTGTCTTCTTCAGCCTGATCAATATGTAATCACTGGTATTGACCCCATAGAGCAGGCCTATTTCACAGCTAGAGGGATTTCTGTGTGTGCATGGGTGTGTGTGTGTGTAATAACTGACATTCCCCATGTGAGTTTTTTTTCCCTACTTTTTTCAAAATTCCCTAACTTCGATTAACATTGTTTTATCTCTTGTTTTATCCTACATAAATTGAAACAGTTACAATCATTATAGACATGCCCTTTATTAGACACTTTCTTTTTAACGAGAATCCCTACTAGCACAACAAAAAAAGGCAATTTACAAGATGTAAAGCTGTCATTTAATGGGAAATCATGAGGTAAATAAATGATTACCACTATTATTAATTAGATAAATTCTCTCTCACAAGTTTCTTTTTGAGTACAATCTATCTACAAAAAACATCAAAATATTGTACTAGGCAAAAAATATGGGGGTTGAAGACAAATCTGTGGTGATTTATATAGTGTATGTATGACAAACATCCAAACAAACACATAAACACACAAATTTCTGTAGGACTCACATGACTATAAATCCATCAAGTCACACAGGAAGAAAAGAAAGAGTTCCTGGAGCGGCAGAGGGCAAACGGCTGCATCGATACTGCACTGTAGCAATGTGTGACTGTATGTGTGTGTGTGTGTGTGTGTGTGTGTGTGTGTGTGTGTGTGTGTGTGTGTGTGTGTGTGTGTGTGTGTGTGTGTGTGTGTGTGGTTGTGACTTAGCATGTTGAGAATAAGAAGAGACAATTTGTGATTGCGTGCATGTACGTGTCTGCTAGTATGTTCACTGGTTTTTGTGTCAGTTTATTTGAGCGTGCACATCCTTGTGTTTTCGTTTGTCTGCATATGTGTAACTCACAGCTCTGTGGTGTCCTTGGGAATGCCCTTGGGCAGAGAGTGCAGCCCTCTGTTGCTGCATCGCACCACGCTGTCTGAGCACGTGCAGACGTCAGGACAACCAGATGCAGGAAGACAACCGTTATCCTCAGCACCTGGAGAGAGAGGAACATTAGCGAAAGAAGGAGGGGAAGAAGGATGAAGATAGAGAAATTCAAAAGTGGACAGAGATGAGAAAGAGAAAAATGACAACAAAGAGAAGAAGAGGACAAAGAAAGGAAAACAGAAAAAGAGGTGTTGAAAAGGTTATAGGAATAAGGGAGGGAGAAAGAGTAAAAGGAGAGCAAAGAGAGAGAAAGGGATGATAGATATAAAGACTAAACTGTGGCAATTGGTCAACTCTACTCTGCACTCAGCACTTTTAAGAGCACTTTATAGTCCATGTCAAATGACCAGAAGCTGCTACAATCAGCTTGCACCAGTGTGGTTCAACATCTGGCTGATTGTAATAATTCTAACACTCAGAGATAAGACGTATCTGAGACTAAATGGTTGTTCTTGGCAATAAAACTGCTCCCATTTCTTTGACTGACAGACAAACTCACACACACCGCTTTAATCTAGTGCTGCAGTATGTAAATAGTTGAACTGTGCTCCCAAATGTAAAACAAGCCGAGTTAAAACCATAATGAAGGATAATGAAGAGTGGACACTAAGCCAATCATAACACAAGTGCAATCTGAGTTTGTGCGTATTTGTGTGTGTGTGTGTGTAGAGTGAGAATGAAGACTAGGGAAGAGAAAAGCAAAGTATGAAATCATTTATGCCCATACTTTGTTCATTTGTACCAATATGCCACCATGTGCTGCAGAGATATCCTTGCATGTGTGTAAGTATATAAGCATACTTACCTGCATATTTTGAGTTTAGTGCACATTCAGTTTGTTAAACAGCTATCTATTCCTCCCCTATGGCCATTGTCATTCATTTTGTAGTTTCTTAATTGTGCTAATGCCTAAATGTCAAGTAAATATGGGTATATGTGCCCTGTGTAGAGCAATGTGTGCAAGCTTGGAAGTCCACAGGGAGGTGTAGCCGTGGGCTGACTCGTTCTACAGTTGGCTGATTGAACTAACATCTAAATGTGCCCTAAATATCTTCTCACAAATTGAATTAACTTTATCTTTCCCCTGGCTGCCCCCAAACAACTTAATAGCTATTTTACTCAACTTTAAATGGACCGGACATGGGGACCTTGGTTATACAGTAGTGTATACTGTATGTATGCCTATGTTTCTTTGTTTCTTTACTACTGAGATCCACTTTGATATTTACACCTTCAGAGTACAGACATTTTAGCTTTGCTAAGAGGTTACATGTAGTTTGTTTTTCTGACCGTCAGCAGGTATCTACAAACCTTTCTGAACTGAGGTACTTGAGCCAAAGAGCAATTCATTTGATTCATTTGTAGTTTAGGTCTGTATGACAAAAATGAGTTTACCTTTATTACTTCCTGTATGTTGTATTATGTTAATTAAAATTAGAATTGGGGTCAGAAAAGTTAAATGTACATATATGATATTAGCTTTGATGTAAGGTCCTGGTAAGGATAGCAGTACAAGGGCTTGAGTCTGTATTAACTATTCGAACTTGTTTGTGCAGCTGAGTGAGCTTGAAGGTAGATTTGTGTGTGTGTGTGTGTGTGTGTGTGTGTGTGTGTGTGTGTGTGTGTGCAAAAGACACAAGAATGAATATTAAGATCTGATACCATCTTAAAGATTCCTTACTGAGCCAACCCACTTAACTCCTTTCCAAACTCATTTTCAGTAAATGGTTGCAGCACAGCTACAGGAAATTAGAAAAGTATAATGAATTCAAAGAAACTCAGGAGGGGGAGAGAGAGGCAGAACGAGATGGAGCAAGCAAAATGGGGAGATCAAAAATAGTTTAAATTGTTAAGCTAAAAAGGAAAAAAATGGGAAAAGAAAGATGTAATAGACAGGAGAGCCAGACCACACTTTGTGGCATCAAACTTGGCAGTGGAGCTGACAGCCTAATTCAGTACAGGCAGGCATCGTTTTGGTCACAGCAACGTCACTGTGGAAACCACAAGCTGATGTCATGTAAGGCTGCTGTTTGCCAGTGGTTACTGATCACTCTGTCCTCACAATACCCCGCTGAGGATGTGTATATGTGTGTGTACTGTACATGTATCTGCAGACTTAAGACATGGAATTTTGAAGTGAGTATCTGGAAGGATTGTTACAAAAGGTAAGAATCAGATCTGAAGATGTGCCCACTTCAGTCGAGTCCAGTACAAACAAAAAGACCTGACATACCTGGTGATGTTATCAGATTTCAATTTAATATCAGTTAAATTACCTTAAAAACAGCTTATTTTCCTTGTATTTTTGGGAGATATGGGAATTAGGAGTTAGTCTTAAGGCAATTAGGGCACTCATTGTTAGTCAATGTGGGTAAAAACCCTTATGTAACAATACAAATATAAAGGTTATTCTCTCTTGACCATTTGCTCACCAACAGATGCTTCACTGCAGCAGGCATTTCTAGGCATGTCACAGTTTTACAGGTAATTTAAAGTCTTATTTTCCTTCCTCCCATGACCGACCTTCATTTCTCATAAAAGACTCCATTAAAAACTTTACTAAAGGTTATGCTGGACATTATTACAAAACATTAAACAACTTTCCTTGGGGAAGTTTTCTAAAAGCTCCTTAAAAACTAGAGAATGTATTCAGTGACTGAGACAAATAAGAATAATGCAGATATTCAATTTAGCATCCATTCATTTGACATATGGTCTTATCTGCACAGGTCACATGGCTGCTGACTGACACCTGTCATTTGCCCCACATTTCAGGCTGTGACATTTCTGGCTTCCTGACATTTTCTATGGAGCCAAAGACAATCATTAAACCTGCTGTATGAGAGAATGAAGCTCACCGTCACATGTGAAGTCTGGGGTAGCCACGTCCTGGATGGGGATTTCCTTCAGGAAGGCTGGCTTCTGACAGCGAGGGTTTCCGCTGACCACCCTGGTCTTCTTCAGCCACTGACCCAGCCAGGCCAAGTGACAATCACACACATATGGGTTGGAGAGGAGGTTACTATGGAAATAAAACATGCCAGCAATAGACAGAGAAGGAAATTGTTGAAACACGGTCATTGCTGCAGTACTTCAATTTTCTACAAAATAATAATAATGCTCATTTGACAAATGGCTTCCTCAAATTTTGCCTTCATGAAAATTATTGATGCATAAATTCTGAGTGATCAGATGTCATCCATCGAGACACTCACTACAGATTTACAGTCGCAACACGTAAGAGGGCTGTGTCTCACAAAGCAAAATTGACAACAGAAAAGGTACACAAAGCAGAAATGATAGATTATTAGATACTCATGTCAGGGGCCATTCCCAATGTTTAAATAATAATAATGTATGAGTATTAAGTATTATAATTTGTATAATTCAATGTACACTGTAAACCATATTGTAAACTGTTGCCTTTAGGTCATAAATAGTCATTAGTCATTATTTATTAGTCATAAAATATAAGAATAATTTGAAATAGAACACAAAGAGGTGAGAGGATGAGCAAGAAAGGAAACAAAAGAGCAGCACAGAGAAAAGGTTATCAGTTATTTTTATTCATTTTGGAAAGTACAAGATAAATTTAGAATGAAAAAGACAAGGTGGCAGAGAGAGAAATAAAAAAGGGAAAAGGTTATCTGTGCATTTTATTCATTTTTGTCATCTCTCATTGCATTTTGTTGTCTTTGCAATAAGACTGCTCATGTAATATTTATGCCAAGCCATATTTAAACTGAATGGGGTGGGACAGTAGGAAGCATCTGCAGCACATACTTGAAAGCGGTTGTAGAGATCCTTACTCTTCTGGCACATCCGAATGACAATGATGCATAAATTTAAGATTTTATTTTTAAATTAAATGTGTGACTGGCCTCATTGAAATCAGAAACACGTAAGCTTATATTTCTTTAGGTTAATGGCACATATTGACAAAGATGGTTCAAAAATATCAAGAGTGAAATTGTTTTCTGTTGCAGCAGACTATTCTGATTTATATTATAAGATAAGGTAATTTCTTGTCTGATGTCGCAAATGATTTACAATGTAAAATGTTACAAAAAAAGGAAACATATCAATACTGGAAATTGGAAACTTAATGTTTGGAAATTGACCATGTGTTTAGCTTCAGAGATCCATAAGTTTTAAAACATCAACAGTGAACTGAACAAATAAACTAACTAACTAATGTATTATTCTGCTTGTTTCTACCTTGCACTAAAAAGAAATAAAAGTAGAAAACTTTGATAGCAAATAGTATATTAGCACATTGACTTTCACTATGTCTACTGCTGAACTATTAAACCTGGATGTTGCTCTTTTTGTACTACAGTTTTAATGTTGTGTTACTACAGATAGGGACAAGTTATTTCCTTATTTTCTTGTAATGAATTGACCTCACTGCATGGCAACCAAGCCTAAGATAAATCCCTTCCTTCCTTTTCTCTGTGTTAATCTTTTAATTAAATAGACACAATAATAGCAAAAGTGAGAAAGAGAGAAGAAGAGAAAAAAAGGTGAAAGATCCATCCTTCTGCCACACCACAGGGTGGTGATGCATTCAAAACGCATTCATGTGTTACTGCAAAAGGCCAATGGAAAAGTAATGCTGAAAAAATGAATGATGACAAATGACAGCGATGAAGGATATGTACTGTATGTACTGTATTTATTTGAGTAGTGTTGATCACTGATAATCACGAACAGCCTCACTGAGCAAACCTGAGTTTATGTAACAAAGCAGCCATCTATCTTCCCTCTCTACTGTCCCCATTTTGTCTTTGTTGTCTCCCGCCTTTCCTCCCAAAACAGTGAAGTAAAAATGTGAATCGAAGTTGACAGGTACATGACAGGACAGAGAGCAAGGACAAAAGGCAGAACAAGGGAAGGATGCATGGAATAAAGAAAGAGAGCAGAGATGATATGAGGAGACTTCTCTGGCATATGTGGGTGTGTTCATAGTAGCAAATATATATATATATATCAACCTATAATGTTTTATTAAACTGATAAAACCAAATTTTTAAATCTTTCACAGGGTGGTCAGAACAAAAAACACGCCAATTTAGTCATTTCTCTCTTGCCTCCCACTCTCTGCTTCCTAACAATGATGTTATATGTCAGATTAATACCTGTCATAACTGTATTTCATGGCAGTTGTTTCATACTTCTCTGCACAATTTAAAAACCAGTCAACACTTTCATACTAATGAAAGCATTCTCCATAAACAAAAAACGTAAAAGAACTCGTATGCCACCCAAGAATTCCCATCTTGGTTGCAGCAGGTGTGTGCATCTTTGGGAGGAAACAAACAAGCTTGGAGATGCTTGTGTGTGTCCATGCATGTATGGATGTGCAGATGCTTAGATATATTTAGCTTTGATAACAAATATCCTGGGATCCAGACCAATCTAGTCGGTAATGATGGAGCGCATCTGTGAGGAGAACAGTGCCCAGAGAGCAACATGTGAGCAAATGTGTGTGTGTGCTTGTGTGTGTTGCAAGGTAAATTACTCCCACAGAAGGGCTTGAGTGAACAATTAAGAGAGGGAGAGACATAAAGAAAGAAACAGTGATGAAGGAGATGAAGTGATGCTACAGATTTGAAGACAGACAAAAAAAGACTGGGACATACATGGAAATATACTGTAGTGGGAATAATGGGCAATAGAAAGAGTAAGAAATGCCGGCTCACATGGTGGACAGGGAGTGCAGGGTTGAGAAAGCTCCCGGGGCGATGCTGGAGATCCTGTTGTCGTACAGCGACAGCAGACGCACCGAGCTCAATCCCGTAAATGTACTGTTGTCTATACAACTGATCTGGTTGCTCCGCAGCATTCTGGAAAAATGCATAGCAAATATTTAGAAAATGAATGCTAAAAGGTTTTTGTTTGCACATTTTGTTTTACCAAGAAGGCTAGAGACTGCACTGAAATCTAGTCTTTAAGTATACACTCTCAATTTTGTGTTTATACCTTACTGTCCAAATCTTAAATGAGTATATTAAAGTTCAAACATTAAACTGAGAAACCAAGAATTGATTACACACTTAATTTTTCTTTAAGGGATATTGTATAACAGGCAGTCTTAAGGTTTGTTCTGAAAAAAAAGTGACGCAGTGAAACAGTTAGTCTATAGAACAATTCATAAAAATACTAAATGTAGGCTACATACTTTGAACTGATAAAAAAAAAACAAATAAAGGCAATAAAAGAACATAATCTACAATGAAACAAACAGATAAAACAGAAAGCTGAGGTAAATTCAAACCAGTCCTCATTTGACGGACTGCTGTTTCCTGCGGTAAACCGTACTCATTTCCTGTATTTGCACTGCGTTGTGCTTGCTTCCAGATTGTTTAGGAATTAAACTCACTATTTTCTAGGTTCATCTGAATTTTTGAGTGACAACATACGCTTGCACCACTTAAAGCACTTGTTTTGCAGAAGTTCTTGCTAACTACCAAATTTAACTTGCTACTTTAGGTCGGCTAGTTTAGAAGCTAGCTAAGCTAGTAGCTTAATCGAGAGCAATGGCTTCCCCCTCTTCCTCTCCTCCTTTCTCTTGCTTGGAGTGTCGCATGTTCAGTTATTCCTCTGCCTCCTTTAGCGATAATGGTACTTGTAATAAATGTCAGATGCTAGCAGCATTGGAGGCGAGGCTCACAGACTTAGAAGCGCGGATCCACACCATGGAGAATAGGCCAGCTAGCTATGCCCA